AAGTGGTAACTGATAGAAAATGAGAAAATTAAGTTGGCATTATTTTATTAAAAGTCAATGATTACAAATCCACAGACAAGTTCTGTTATACTTTAGACTGGTAGAAATAAGATGAATGACTGATAGTAAAATGCTATCTCAAGAATTGGCTAAAAAGGAGCATTCATTAACGCCCCTGTTAATTGCATCTCTATCAAGTTACCATGCAGAGCACAATGAATGTGTATGTGTGTCCCCAGTACTGCTGTGGCAAGCTCTGTGGATTTCAGCAGCACCTATGCTGTCTTCACTTAACGTTACAGATACCAAATATGAAGAGAGTTTTTTGACTCTAAATAAATACTTGATTCCTTGTAGGGCTCTGTAACTTTGTATTTCCCGAAACATTTTTGGTTTATTCTTGTTCAGAAAGGAGGGAACCTGCTTACCTTCCGAATGAACTGGGTTAGGCAAAAACCATGACAAGAAAGGCTTAAAGTATTTTAACACTGAGTTCTTCGGTCCTTACTACAAAACCATGTAAATGTGTGAGCCCAGCAAGTGAGAGAGGGAGAGAAGGGGGCTGATGCTCTGCTTTTGATGGCAGCGCTGATACAAGTCAGCTTCAAATGCTCACAGAGATGAGTGAGGCAGTAAATGTCTCATTGCTACCAAAAGGAGTCTTTGCTTCTCCTCTGTTCCCAGCTGTGATCTCCTGCTGTTTCCTTTGTGCCAGCTCTGGCACTTCCGTGAATTTATTTAACTCCTTGAAATGTTAGAAAACAAACCCAGCAACAGTAACATAGGTACGTAATCGTATCTACCATTACAGTGCAAGGAAATAGGGCTGCAACTCAAAGATACAAGTTATTAATGCTATTGGGGCTACAGTTGATGTGAGAGATTTGTATCCCATTTGGATGTCCTTATATCCTTGCTCGGGCCTGCTGTTCACTTGAAGTATTGTGGCATCTCTCATTACCCCAATTTCTCAAACCCTAGCCCAGTCCTGTAAGCAGGCTTCCCCACTTCTATATTCTGGTCTCTGTACTCCTATTTTCTTCCCGTGCTATAATCCATCTTGTCTTCCTTTACAAAAATAAACTCAGGCTTCGTCTCCTTACCCAGAAGTGCACGTCCTGCCTGTTGCTTACTCAGTGAGAATGTAATTGCCAAAAAATTACAGCTCAAACTCTGGAATCACAGCCTTCCTGATGTGAACTTGCCTGGCTGTGCTCTGCAACGTTCCCCTCTACCCCCGGTTTCTTCCGCTATAAGCTATCGTGGTCCTTCACGTGAGTAAATTACTGTTGTGTACCAAGTTATTGCTATTGTTGTAGCGAGGGGGGTGTCGGTCTCTTCTCCCAAGTAACAAGCGATAGGATGAGAGGAAACGGCCTCAAGTTGCGCCAGGGGAGGTTTAGATTGGACATGAGGAAAAATTTCTTTACTGAAAGAGTGGTGAAATATTGGAACAGGCTGCCCAGGGAAGTGGTGG